CCGAACACTGTACTTTTGGATTCAGCAGCGAGGGCTTTCGGGGGGATGGACGTTCTTGGGGGTCGGTAGGAGGGATGGCCGGGGTCCCCGCGGTGGCGGCAGGAGCGGCGGCATGGGCAGCAGCCTCGGCGGCGACGGCGGCGACCTCTGGCGGCAGTGTTTTCCCCGCGGCGGCGGCGGGGGGAACGGCCGGGGTCCCCGCGGTGGCGGCAGGAGCGGCGGCATCGGCAGCAGCTCCGGCGGCGACGGCGGCGACCTCTGGCGGCAGTGTTTTCCCCGCGGCGGCGGCGGGGGGAACGGCCGGGGTCCCCGCGGTGGCGGCAGGAGCGGCGGCATCGGCAGCAGCTCCGGCGGCGACGGCGGCGACCTCTGGCGGCAGTGTTTTCCCCGCGGCGGCGGCGGGGGGGGCGGCCGGGGTCCCCGCGGTGGCGGCAGGAGCGGCGGCATCGGCAGCAGCTCCGGCGGCGGCGCCGCTGGCACCAGACGGAGCGTGGACGGAGGTGGAGCATGAGGGTGGTACCGGCGTGCGTCGGCAGGGGCAGCAGGGGTTTGTAGCGACGCCCGCCGTGACGAGGTCGCGCGCGAAGCGAGATGGGCGGGTGCCGGGGATTTTCGCGCTTCTAGCCATGGAGGACGAGATCAAACGGTCCATTGCCGAGCTTCCTTCGCCGGGCGTTTCTGAGCCAGACTTACCGACAGGGCCGGCGTACGACCAGGAGACACCTGAGACATACGCGGCGGCGCACGCGGGGCCACACCACCACATCTGGACCCACGCCGAACACAAGGAGTTTTGCGGGCTGAACGCAGCGGGCACCTTTCAGGAGGTCGGGGCGGAATAGCAACGAGGAACGAACGTCATCTCCTCCAAGTGGGTGTATTCATGGAAGGTAGACGAGTTTGGGCAGCGTGTGCGTGCTAAAGCTAGGTTGGTGGCCCGTGGGTTTGCGCAGCGTGAGGGTGTTGACTTCTTTGAAACTTTCTCCCCTTGCCCTTCCATCACGAGCATTCGTTTGTTAGCCGCTATTGCCTGTGTGCTGGGTTGGGATACGTGCCATTTCGATGCCGAGCAAGCCTTTGTCCAATCGGAACTGGATGAGGTTGTGTACATTCGTCTACCCCCTGGGTGCGGCGCGCTTTCCGGTAAGGTCGTTCGGTTGAGACGGAGTCTTTACGGTCTGAAGCAGGCGTCCCGCACATGGCATCACCACTTGATGCGTGGCATGAAGCGTCTTGGTTTCGAGTCTTGTGCTGCCGATGCGTGTGTGATGCGTCTGATCGAGAGCGGTGTAGTCACCATGGTGGTTGTGATCCACGTGGACGAATCTTTTCTATCGGACGTAAGAGCAGGTGCGACCAGTTTGGTGTAGATCTCAACCGGTATGTGCCCATCTCCAACCTTGGGGAACTGCGCTGGTATGCGGGTTGCCGGTTTTCTCGTGACACGGCGTTGGGGACAGTGACTATTTCGCAGCAGGCTGTAGCGGAGAAGATCGTCGCCAAGTTCGGTGTGACGACGAACAAAGAGACACCCATGGTCGTTGGTTTGAAGCTTGAGCAGTATGACGCCGACGAGCCCGATGTTGACGCGCCTTTCCGGTCGCTGGTGGGACACTTGATGTGGCTGGCGAATCAGACTCGCCCGGATATTCTCAACGCGGTACGTGCCGTTGCGAGGTATTCGCACGCGCCGAAGCGATTACACTGGCAAGCGGCTTTGCATGTCTTGATGTATGTTAGATCCACGAGCGAGTACGGTATTACTTTTCAGAGGGGCATGGTAGGAGGAGACCACATGGAACTTTTTGTCGATGCGGACTTCGCCAGCAAGGCAACCGGCCGGCGATCTGTTTCTGGGGCACTAGTGATGTTCGCTGGTGCGTGTGTGATGTATCTGTGTAGGACGCAGAAGAGCGTCACCTTGTCTTCGACGGAAGCGGAGTACGTGGCGATGTCTGAGGGGCTGAAGGAGGCTATTTTTCTGCGGTATCTCTGGAGTTTTATCTTTCCGGACCGTGATGTGGGGTGCACTCCGGTGTGGGAGGACAATGTAGGCGCTATTCACTTGGCAAGTAACCCGGCTACGACCCCTAACTCGAAGCACATCGACATTCGCCACCATTTCATCCGTGAGCGTGTCGCGCGGGGCGAGTTCAAGGTAGTCCACGTACGTTCGGACCTACAACACGCGGATTTCCTGACTAAACCGCTCCCCAAGGAGACTTTTTGCGCTCATCGCGACTTTGTGATGAATATTCGTTGATTTTGTTCTTTGTGTTTTCAGCGGGGGGGCCTTTTCCTACGTGATGTGTTTTATTTGTGAATTTATACTGGCCGTTGATTTGCTGTTGTTATGTTTCTGCTCTCTGGTACGTACGATGGATGAGGTAGTTCTGCACAAGAATCATGGGGGGGGGATATTGGTATTGTTCCATGATACTAGTAGCAGGTGTTTTATTTGTTTTTGATTTGTTTGTTTGGTTCCTTCGTGTTTGGGATGGATGTTACAGCAGGGGGGCTGTTGGACTGGTATATTTGTCAAGGTATTGGGTATTGGAGGAAGGATTTGGCATGTTCTCGTAAGTCATGGTTGAAGCCTTTGTGCTTCCGAAGGTTATTTGCGCTGGTCAATGAGTTGAAACATGAATGCTTATCTGAGGAATTTGTTCTGAGTTAAGTCAGGACGTTGGACACGTTTTCCCAGAGTTACCCGTCCCCTTTCTGACGTGATTCTGATGTAATGTGTATCTTTGCTGGGTATTCTTCCAAGGGTGACTGTTTGTGTTTTGACTGCTTGAGAATTTGGTAAAGCATTTTTCTCAAGAGGGTGAATTGTTTATTGACAGACCTTTTAGGGGATAGTAATTTGATATCACAAGACTTTGAAAGCTTTGTACGGCATTGTTATGTTGACAGAGTTGTTTGAAGTGGAATGGTGGATGATTTATCTGCCGTTTTACCTGGCAGTTCGTGAGGTAGGTGTCGTAGATCGTATCTCGTACAGAGCAGGGGGGCTGTTTGGGGTGCTCAGCAGGATACTGATCTACGGGGCCTCCGGGGGTTACGTGAATGATGTTTGTGTATGATGGACATGATACGTGCGGGGCCCCTCGTGCCTCCGCCGTGCATGCCACTCTCTAATCAACCAAGGTCTTGAGTCAACCTTCTTTCTCTTTCGGCCTCTGACGGGCTACCGCACCCAAACAGTTTCTTTCCTTAGATTCTGTTCTTCTCTCTCGGCACAAGCAACAGATAGCTTCTCCTTGAACCCCTGTAGACCCTCCGTTTCCAGCGTTTCATCTTCGTCGATGTCTAACCCCTTCCATACGTCCTCTACAACCTTGACCCATTCCGTGGGTTGTCTACCCCTCTTTTTGTTTGCCCACTTCGCCTCCCATACTATTCTCGGCAACCTCTCCTCTCCCATCCCGCACATGCGATCCTGCTATGTCAGCTTCCTTGCGTCTCTTCCCGACCGTAGGGATTGGATCCCCAATTCTGCCCTGACAGCTTCATTACTTGTGCGCTTGGAGCATCCGAGGATGATTTTGGCTGCTTTTATCTGCGCCGCCTCGAGTTCTTTCACTGCCTTCTTATTTCCTTCCCATATTTCTCCGGCGTACTCTAGCGGCGGTCCGATTACGCTCTTCAAAACCGTCACTTTGATGCGTGTATCGAGGTGCCGGTTTGCGAGTATTGGGTGCAGCTTCCCTGCTCGTGCTTTGCCCTTTCCCGCTACCTTGGACATGTGTGCATTCCACGAGCAGTCTTTTGCGATCTCTACTCCGAGGTATGTGTACTGGTCCAGTAGTGCAATCTCCTCGATCCCCCACTTCCATCTATGTTCCACTGGTTCCTCCCTGACCTCGTTGCACACCATGACGGCACTCTTCTTAGCATTGGCAGACAATCTCCACTTATCAGTAAACTTCTTCGCCGCGTCAATTTGTAGTTGCAGTCCCTCAGGGGTGTCCGACATACAGTGCCAGAAATTGTCCCGTTATATTGGGGGTTATCAGTAAAAAAAGAGGGGAATCTAAAAAATTGCGGGGTGATATGTAGTCTACTCCCCAAACCCAAAAACAATTAATTAAATCAAACACCCCCATATATATATATCATATTATATTCGTAAGAAAGCTCTCGCCAGGGGCGTTCGTATAAGCTACTCAACACGGGTGGGTTCGGTCTCGATAAAAAGTTATGGACCTCTTACCGTCGCCACAGAGGGTACTTCACCCACTTCAGGAATCCTCCATATCTCGACAACTACGACGAACCCACCGACAAAAAATTAAAATTGCAGTGAAGCCCTGTTTCTGTGCTATTTACTGGAGTTGGTTCCATTTCCGAACCTTTCATAATCCGAATAAAACTCCGAACCACATTTATTTTTCAACAAATGGCCCACATCACAGCCCCAACGGCTGCGCAAAAAAGGACTTCGAGGTCCACGCCCTACACGCCCATGGCCTCCGCGCTTCGCCTTGAGGCGCTGGCAGCCATCAGGGAAGCCCTGACTCGGCGTGGTGGTACGTTGATTGCTGCACGTCAAGTGAAGAGCTCGAAAACGTATCGTCTGCTGCTGACAGCGGACCAACCTGTCTGATGGGTCCAGCCGCAGCTTGTACAGCGAGTACATCAAGTACCCAAAGTCTAACAAGAAAGCACGTGACTGGGTTGCGGAGGAGAACTTCGCCAAGGCCTGGCGGCCATCTCACTCTAGCGGCAGCGCCGTTCTCTCCAAAGCAGATGCGAGGCTCCGGAGCGAAGACAAACCTGCTCTTCCTCCTCGGGAAAAACGGCCACGAGACTGTCAGCCAACATGTTGAGCGATCGACACACCACCCGCCAAGCGCGCAGCACGTGAGGGAGAAGGCCGCCCAAAGGGAAGCTTCGGCCGGAAGAGATTGCGTGCACTCTTGCATCAGTACAAGGTGCAAGTCGAGCAAGGCCAGCTGGCCTTTGCACGCTTGCAACTACGGGACCTCGGCAGCGCGATGTTGGCTGCGTCGCAGGAAGTGGACAAACACGAGAAGGACTGGCAGCCGGCGTTCCTCAAGCGCCAGAGCAACAGGGGTGTAGGCAGGAAAGAGGCTCTGCGCAAGCTCGCAAAGCATAGATCGCAGCTGGAGAAGGCATCCTTGGCGTCCGCTGCATGCAAGGCGGGCTGGGAGAAAGGACTCGAGTATTTCCGCGCCGTCGCGAAGGAGTGCAACGGCGCTGTTGCAGCGACGTCTGCTGGGCTCGAGGTAAGTGTAGATCCGGCTGGTAGATCCTGTGTTAGGACACACACAGCAGTATTCCTGTTGTTCTGTACTAGCACGTATGGCACATGCAGCAGTAGTCCTGCAGTATATATGCCATCGCTGTCGCTGCTGTTGTTGTTCTACATCTATATTTCTGCTGCTGCATGCGCCAAAAATCTGAAACATGCGCATGCATGCGTGCATCGCGCAATGCTGTTTGCTGCCGTGCGTGGCCTGCTAAATTTATCGGCGCTCTTGCTTAAGTGATGGTGTGTCTACGCTAATATGGATGCCAAACATGCCGGAGTTGTGTTGACCACTGCTGTACTGAGTACTGACGTTGCACGCATTGACTTTCCTTGCCCGGATCTGAGTTGGTGCGTGTGAGCGTGAGAGCGTGTGTTCATTTTGACTGGTCTGAAACAAACACCAACCAAACCCACTACGTTACCCTTGTCGTCCCAGGAAACAATTGATGTTTCGCACGCGCAAGCTGGGAAACTGCTCACCCAAGCCCAAGCCCTGAGAGCGGTGTACAGCAAGCTACTCCAGGGGGTGTCGAAGCGACAAGCCTTCGAGGGGTCGGCCGAGTTTCTCGAGTTGGCAGTGGGCACCATCAAGCAGTGGGAGCTTGAGTACCGTACGAAGGGCCATATCGTGGTGAGCGCAACAGTCTCCCCTGCTAGATTACGTCAGAATAGGACTCGTAGAAGTGTCATACAGTAGTAGACAACGTACAAAAAATGGTGATTGGAACACAGCGTAGACAACGTTGAAAACAATATGTTTCGCATGAAGGTTTGGCGGCCGCACACTCCAAACACGGTCAGTCTTTAATTCAACCCCGGCTCTCTCCCGCGCGTTTTACTTGGTGCTGTCACCCTTCCCGTGCTCCTGGTGTCACATTTTTTTTTAGTTGGATCAGGGGGGAGACACGAACGACGCTGGCTCCTGAGCCTGGACGAGGGGCTTCTCGTGAGGATCCGCTTCTGGATCCGAAACAACACTGTCAAGAACGGGGGGCCGAACATGACAGCTCAGACGTTCTGCGACTACCTCATCAAGGATGTCTTGCCAGAGGTTGGGGCGACCAAGACCGACGACTACGACCCCTTCAAGAACGCGCCCATCACCAAGATCAAGAACGATAAGGGTGAGGTCGTGTCGTACGCGGTCACCGAGCGCACAGCACAATCCTGGCTTCACAAGCTGGGATGCGAGTACCGCGACACGAAGTCGGGTCTGTACTTCGACGGGCATGACCGCGAGGACGTACCAGAGTACCGGGTCGAGACGTATCTACCCGCCTACTTCGAGCACCGCGACTACACGGAGATCTGGATCGACGCCAGCTTCGAGGAGGCGCGATCCTGGGAGGTGGAGACGCAGCCAAGGGACAGGAGGGAGGACGGGCGTGTTTGGATTTGCGTGCATGCATTCAAGGAGACGCTCTCCGAGCTCCCCCGCACCTACGAGCGAGGGGCACCAGCAAGAAAGAGTACGCCGATGGCAGAAAGGCGATTTTTTGCTACCAGGACGAGTGCATCTACAGGGCCAACGACGGGGAGCGCAACGCGTGGTGGCCGCCGAACGTACACGGGCTAAAGAAGAAGGGAGAAGGACAGGGCATAATGATTTCCGGCACCATCGTGGGCGACGTCTGATTCGTCGAGGGGACTCCAGCGGACATCGACGAGGCCCAAGATCTGCGGCGTGAGCGCTGCCGCATTTCGAGGGAGATGCACGCAGCCGGTGATCCGACCAGGCCGGAAAAGCACCGCGACATCGACATGCTCTACTTCGAGGGAGAGGGCGACGACCGCAAGTTTTCGACGTAATACAAGTTCGAGTATGGCAAGAACAAGGCGGGGTACTGGACGGGGGCGAAGATGATCGAGCACATGGCGGATGGATGTGTTGGATCTCTTGGCCGTGAAGTTCCCGCGGCACAGGCCAATCTGTTTTTTCGACTGGTCATCGTGCCATGATTGCGTTGGGAGGGCACCGAGTGTAGCTAGGATGAACGCAGGGTACGGGGGGTAAGGAAGGGGCAGGAGATAGCTCCTCAGGATGCTACCACCATACTAGAAGACACGCCCAAACTCAAGAAAGGGGCGGCACAGTTCCTCACATTTCAGCCCGGGGAGTACCCATTCTATGAGCCGGGCGCCACATATCACGTAGGGAAGATCAAGGGGCTCAAGCAAGTCTTGTTTGAGAGGGGCTTTGGATCTCAGGGATGAACATGACAGGGGCCAAGAAGGGCCAGAAGGCTAACCTCAAGATGAGCATGCCGGCGGTGTTGCGCGAGCAAAAGGATTTCGCGAAGGTCGACTCTAGCCTAGAGGTTCTGTTGAAGCGCCATGGAGGGGTTGCGCTCATGCTTCCCAAGTTCCACTGCGAGTTGAACCCGATCGGGCTTGTGTGGGGTAGATCAAAGTGGTGGGTCCGCAGGAACTGCAAGTACACTATCGCGTGCTTGCGAGAGAACGTTTCCAAGAGCTTCACGGCAGACGACAACTTGAGCCTTGCAATAGGTCAGAAGTTCTGCAGGAAGGTGGCCAACTTCCACACGGTGTATGACGCAGGTCTCAAGGGCGCCGAGGCAGTAAAGGAGCAAAAGAAATTCAAGTCGCACCGCAAGCCGGCCCTGTCCGAGTACATTAACCCCAAGTAATGTATGCTAAGTGCCGGTTGTAAACTATGGGGTGCTGTGCGGGCGGCCTTGGGACGACTACGGTAGCCGCTGCAGATGCACAAGGAAGGTTCTGTGTTTGCGTGTGACTGTAGAGGGTGGCGTCGGTTTGTGCTCTTGTCGGTGTGGTGTTTTCCCACGGGGATTTTTTTTTTCTTCCCTGATCGGCTGCGTTGTCCGAACGATATCTTCAGTGATGTGGTCATAATATGTACAAATGTTAACAAAAAAGAGTGGGCGTGGGTGCTGTAGTGTGTAAATACAGGGAGTTGCCGACGGTTGAAGCTAAATGAACGAAACATCAAGCGTTAAACGGTGTGTTTTGCGACCAGAAATGGGTGCACAATCTTGGGTGCCCCCCGAGTTATGTATCATAATACTAATCAAGTAATTTCTTTTTTTTTGATGGCGCCATTGTGTTTGTCTGCTCAAACCCCGTTGTTACCTACAAAGAAAACAAAAAAACGGATAGGAATACCTATAGTGGTTGTCGAGATACTGGCGAACAAGTTTCATCCCCTCCCCCCCCAAAAGCCTGGAAAATCCTATACGAAAACTGTGATTTTTCAGGAACGTCTCAAATCGATATGGTCCCTGAACAATTCTTGTGGGGTTTGCTGTGTAGATCAATAATAAAAAAAAATGAAAACAAGTAAGTATTGACGAATTTATGGCCGGTCAACTGAAATCGGCGGGACAACTTCCGGCTGTACCAACAAAATCATCCGCAAACAGCATTCCTGACACCGAAGTTTCCGTGTCCCCTACTGTTATTCCCTTCCGGACTGCCTCTACGACTTCCAACAGATCGTTGATGAACACCTGGAACAATGTTGGGGACAGCGTGCAACCTTGTGGGACCCCTTGCTCAATGTCGAAGAATTTAGACAGTTCTCCGTCTAGCATGACCGCGCTTTTCGTACGCTCTGTCATCTTCTTCAGCACTCTCCACATTTCCCCCTTGATCCCGTACTTGGACATTTGTTTCCACAGCCCATTCTCCATACGGTATCGTATGCCTTTTTCACGTCCAGGAAGAAGCGGTACGTCGGCTTTCCCGCCCTCTTTCTGCCTTGGATGATTCTCCCACGAAAGGGGTTGTACACATAGTCGTGCATGCCGTAGTGTTTAGACCATTGACCTCGCATCCCTACAAAGCCGGGACGGAGCACGCGGGGTTTTCACCGGCCCAGGCTCCCACGACAGGGGGGGGGGGCAAAGAGGAGCCGAATCAACGAAAACAACAACACAATTAACTACAACAACCGTCGACACACCTCAGGACCCACTTCCCCCAGAACCCCCTTTCCCCGTTTCCAACCCGTCATGCGCGTCGGCGGCGGCGGGGGCGGCGGAACCCCCACCGGTCCCACCGCTCGACGGTGCTTGTCCACCGCCGCCACCGCCGCCGCCGCCGTCCTCCGCGCTGCCATCATCACCGTCGCCGCCGAGGAACAGCTTCCCTTCCCCGTCGCTGCCAGCCAGCGGCGGCCGGTCTCCCCCCTTTCTGGGGCCGTACTCGAAGTAAGTCTTGAGGCTCGCGAGGTAGACGATGAAGACAAGCTCGGAGAAGAGGGGGATGAAAACGGCCCACATCCCGTAGTGGTAGAGGTACACGAGCTGCAGGGAGACACCGGTCGCGATCGTTCCCTGTTCGTTCGTTTGTTTGTTCGTTCGTCGTGCAAATCCGGTGACAGAAGTTGCGGCGGCGAAAGGGGAAAAGAAGCGAAAGGACAGCGTGGGACAAGCAGGCACGGGTGGGCAATTTGACCGATTCAGTTAGAGAGCGTCCCGCGGCGCTATTTAGCTACTCGCTGCCCCAATTTTTTTTCTAGAGAAATAACACACGGGGGGGCAACAACGGATTCGAACCCACGTCGCTAGAAATATGTTTCTTATTCGGTCGTACTCTTGGCTTTCTAAATACATCACCAAAGCGCCCGGCTGTTCTTTTCTTCGGTAGGCGGTTTCTTTCGCATGGTGTTTTCTGGGCGTTGGATTTTGGGGGGAAGTCCTTTTCTGAGCCCAAAAAATTACTTGGGCTTCCTACGCGGAGGAAAATGGCAAATTCTGGCAGCCCGAATGTTTCCAAGGATTCCGGCCGACCATTTTCCAAAAACGATCGGGTTGTATTTTCGCTGTTAAAAATGGGGGGGGGGGGGTCACCCCCTGGTCACACCCCGATCGTGCCAGAATGAGGAACCACACCGTCTGCTGGCCAAACAGAGGCCAGTATCATGAGGTCATGCACAAACCCTCTGCAGGTATCTAAAATCCAGGGCGTTCTGCGTCGTGTTGGCCGCACACGAGCCGAAAACGTCAACCCTGCCACATTGCTCTGCTGACGTTCTTGCCCTTCGGTCGAAAAGAGCCGTTTTTGCACCTGCTGTATGTGTGATCCGTTGAAAACGCATGCCAGAGGGAGGCTTTAGGGCGATGGCATCCACAAACTGCAGCCAATGGCATGTGATCATACACATACCCTCTGCTCGCGTCCCAGAAACAGCGCGTATTGTCCAGTTTTGATTGCACACGGCCTGCAAACATGAACCGAGGTGTGTTTTGGTGTTACCTTTCTCGGACGTTGCCTTTTTGTTTTCTGGTTGCTCTGAGTGTGATAAGTCCACAACGCATGCCAGAGAGAGGCCTTTGGCCAACGA